GGGTTTAACCCACCTACTTTGACTGTCTTCTCATTCTCAAACAGAAAATACATTAAAAAATAAAGTCTGAAATGGCAAGGCTCCTTTCAAAGGGATTAAAGGGGATGTTTTTGTCTAGTGAACTTGCCCGAGTGTACTCACTCTCACTGCTATCACAGGAAGAGAGCTGCTCACAGCACAATACAGCGAGCCGTTTGCACTTCAGGCTATGCATTCCTGAGCGCTCTGGCATATAAACCGACAAAAGGAATTCTCGTGCAGCCGCGCTGAGCCGGGCTATTGTGAGAAAAACATACAGACTCAGGTGTAGTGGCGTTCACCTTGGCTCGCGCGTCTGTGCGGAGGATTGTCGCGGCTGTGCAGATTGGCCTCCGTACGGCAGGAGGCCTGGTGCAACTTAAGCGATGTGCAGTCATGAGTGAGTCGATTTGAACCCGCTCACTCACTGCGCGCCAAGTCCCCGCCACCCAGGATCTCTCGCCGAGAAAAACGGACTAAATATGTGATGAGCTGAGCTGTGAGAGGATTCGGCTGCACAAACACACACACACACGGCCTACACAGACACACAAACACACATTTCCAATTGCTAAAAAAAAAAAAAAAAAAAAAAAGGCGAAGAGGCAACTCAGTTCACTTGGGATAGTTAGAGCGCACGCAGAGGCTGGGAGACAAAGCCTGGCATCTTGAGAACAAGTCTCGCCTGATGAGGCCTCTCTATTTAAATCCCCGGGATGAGCTGAGAGTGTGTCTGTCGATGGAATCGCTCCAGGAGACATGCACAGGATTGGAGGAAGAAACAGCCGAGGCAATGAAAGGGGAAGATGGAGAGACAGACAGAGAGTGAAGGCTGTGGATGAAGAGTGGCAGGAAGGTATGTTTGAGGAAATGAAAGGACAGAGAATAAGGGCTTGGATTCAGTCAGACATCCCTTCCTACTGTTAGACATAGAGCACAGTTCAGACCTGCAATGAGCGCTACTGATACTACACACAGGTGACTCACTGTGTTCTGTGACACTTTGAAGTCAGTTTGCGTCTGCAGGGTGTGGAAATGAGGGTTTGTGACTGAGTGAGTGGGCGAGTGGGGGAGTGAGCCGAGTGAGCGTATGAGTGTGTGTATGAGCACACGGAGAAGGGTAGGGCTCTGGGATTAGTACCTCTCCCTTTGCAGATCTATAAGCACCCAGTGTTTCTTGTCACTAAGAGGATTCTCAGGGATACAGGGCTGTCCCAACAATTGAAAGCAAGGTTTTAGGCGCTAATCTACGAATTCAAGGGCGAGCGAGGCTGATTCTCAGCTGATGGAGCACATGCTGCTGCCTTCAGCTTGATTGACACGGCAGAACGTGGAGGTCAAAGAGGCAATCTTTACAGCTTAGAGGAGAGAGAAGAAGCAGCCTACAGAAAGGCTTTAACTGTGAGCCACCACTCACAACGATGTATTGAGAGATCATTATCAAATGCAAGAGCTACCGATTGTTGTTTTGGGTTTTTTTTTCTTTTTCCCAGGCCTTTGCTCTCGTCTCTGCTCGGTATCTTGATCACCTCTGTATGGGTGACAACACCCTGGGTCGTACCGGCTATTCAGGGGCACACAAAAGGCCCTCATAGGGAATCATTCAGCCCTGCTAACGGACGGCTCCACAGCACCCGCCCAGACAATCACAGCCAAACTGGGAGCATTCATTCATGAGCAATTGTTCATTATCAGCCCATATCCAGAGCAAATACACACATAGAAGCACACAGGAGCGCACTTTAATATCAGCACTCACCCACATGCACACACAGCCAAGCACGCACACAGACTTTGAATCATAAGAGGAAAAATGCTGTTGCAAGAGGACTGTAACCAAAGAGCAATAAGCACAGCACCAGTCTTTTTTCTTTGGGCTGGGGGGGTGGGGGGGGTGGGGTTATGCGAAACAGAATTTTTTCTTACTTCTTCTTCTCCCTGTGTACAAGTATCCAGCATTACTGAACTTCTGTGGATTGGGTCTGCTTGTCCATTCCTCTAAGGACTACTCCGACTAGTACACGTTTGCAAACAGACGCTATATAACCAACCACCAGCATGAGTTAACACTGTGGCTCTCTTCCACACAAGCTCCATCTTGCCTCGAATCTAGACGCGTGTGGATATATTTGATGCTACAGGCCAACTGGAAGGAAAACACCCACTGTTTTTGGATTTTATGACAGGCCAAAAAAAAAAAAAAAAAAAAGTCTGATGTTATGTTGTGTTGTGTAACACTGTCACAGCTGTGATAATCTCTGCTTGCTTAAATCAGCAGAGAATCAAATGTACCAAATGCATTAACTGTTCCAGATAGTTGGTATTCCATTAATCCAATGGGACCCATATCAGCAAATGCCTCAGTGTGACGCAACTCTCTGGGTAAACCTGCTATGTGGTTCTAGCCTGTGCGCTATTTCTTTTCTTTTCTTTTTTTTATACAAGAAGGGGTATGAGCAGAAAGTAAAGACCTATAAATCACCAGGGCAAAACCTCTTTTGAAGCCACTGCAGACTGTAAAGCCTCTGACACAGAGATGCTCAGATGGGGGTGGGGGTGGAGGGGGTGGGGTGCAAAGCTGAAAAAACAAAAGCTCACAATCCTGCATTCTCACAGGTATCTGACAAAACAAAACGGTTTGCACAGCTGAGAGTAGCCGGCTAACTCCAAACTGGAGGAACTGCGAGACACAAGAGGGCCACTCTGGTCTGATGACACCTCTGCGTTCACAATACGCAAAGTGATGAGGAACAATGGAGGGATGAGAGGGAATAAACCATCCCTGACCGACACTGAGAGCGTCCCCGCGGAGCTTTCATTCTGTGGACCTCTCACGGCTCGTAAATTCAAGCTCAAGGTCCAGGAGGGTGGGGGTGGGATGAGGGTGGGGGGGTGAGTGAGTGAGTGAGTGCAGTCAGCATGTCAGCACAGCAATATCCACCTCAGCTGTGTGTCCACAAGCTCATCAAGCAGGGCCCAGTCTGCACACACCAGTAGCTTCACCGACAAATAACAGCATCAGTCAACAGCCGGGAAGTTGTTTTTTTGGCCGTCCAGGCCTGACGTGGTTCAAAAACAATGAGTTACACAAGAAAAGGGGCAACACAGCTTTGGTTTTCGTTGCTGTCCTTGGTTGAGAAAAGGACACTTTGATGTTTAACGTTGTGAGTCTGACTGTGAATCTTTTACTTCAGTTAACTGAGGATGTAACCTGATGCTGTTTTTGAGGAGGCATGCATCATAAAATCCTGGTGTTGGTTTGATCTCCTCTTTCTCCCACTATCAGGTGTCCATATTTTCAGGTTTGTTTATTATCACTTCAGTGCTAAGTCTCATTGTACACAGTGTGCATCTGGAGGCAGAGGAAACTGGTGCAAGAGATATGAATATCCGTATTACATGCACATCATGTTTTACTGCAAATAAAAATGCCCTATCAAACAAAGAAAAAAGCCCTGTCTTTCAGGACAGCCATTGATTAAACCACAAGATTCCTCGCATGCGACTTGGACTTAAAAGGTGCCCAGCAGCCACTGTACATTTCTCAATTTAATCTGGGTGACTGATCAAGAAAATTCATTGATTTCACCCATTAATCATCTCAGGAGAGTCTGTGCAATATCGATCAGCAAGTCTGTGCGGCGAGGAGGGCTGACTGAGGAGGCAATCATTGCAGAGGGGACAGGTCTTTGTAGAGAGAGTGCAGCAGCATAGATTTTGTTGGGGGACATAATAACCATTATTTCCCACCACACAATGCCAGCCAATACTGCCTCAAAATGGCCGAGTTTTTTTTTTTTTTTTTTTGCAAATGGGAGACAGAGAGAAACATTCCCTGATAATCACTTTGCGTGGCACACAACAGTGCCAGGAGGACATGTCTTGTTAAGATGTTTTGTCATGGTTGCTTCAACAGTAAGCAGGAATACTTGTGTTTACCCTCTGAGGGGGCGGAGGGGTGGCGGTGGCTGTTTGCTCTGAAAATGGGTGCATTGTCATCCGATGACACACACACACACACGTCTGACACTGCAGGCATCAGTGTCCGGGGACAATAACCGGTGATCCAGCAGGAAAATAGGGCATCAGGTAGGTGAGGAGTGTGTGCACGTGCATGAGTGGGTGTGTTGGTACAGGAGGACCTACATTTGGCCTATTTAGATCTAACAAATGCACTATTTTAGTGGCTCTAATTGCAATACAGACTATAAACCTTTCAAAATAAGACATAAAGAGACACTGTTGAGTAAGGACAGTGGCCTGCCTGCTTCACAGGTGTGGTATTAGAGAGGGCCATCCTGATGACACAGGAATAGCTGGAATTTGAATAGGTAGGTAAATGGTTCCCTCCTCTATGGTAATACACGGACATGATGGACACAATCATTAAGTACAGCATTCTGTTTGTGATCCATTGCAGAGGTCCTGTGTGTCCCCAGAGGCCTGACAAAGCGCCAGTTGTCTTTCATTTGATCTCTGCAGCAAACCCTGCTATAATCTTGTTATGGCACCTTCCGGACCCACATTGTTCAACTCACACCAACAAACTGCAATCAGTGCGCAAGAATGAAGTGGAAAAATCACCTGAAGACAAGCTTATTCATATTTAACTAGATCTGATATTATATCAGCCCCCGAGAACACATTCTAAGCCTTTAAACTCGGGGGGAAAAACAATAACAAATATGACACACATCCTTACATTATTATGTGGAATGATCAATTCCGCTACTTATGTAGGAATCTTGTTTGAGAGAAGTAATCAAAGCTCAATCAATGTATTTTACAATCACATCACGCGAGATAAAATAGTGCGTTCGTTAGAGGATCAACAGAGCTTGGCCATAAATGCCTCATGTGAAAAGAGGACAAATATAGTCCTAAAAGATGAGCTTTTTTCAAGAGCATACCCCCGCTGGTTTTTGATCCAGGTCAGACTAACCTGGCACGTCATAAATCAGGAAACATTTCAGATTACATACCTCGATATAGCCGGCCAGCGCTGGAACCACAATGCCCAAAATAAGGACAGATATCGCCGGGACTGAACCCATCTTCCAGGATTTCCGGTGGTGCTACTGTAAATAACTTATATCCTATGAGCTATATGTGCGTGAGGTGACGTCCGGGAGAATAAGGAGCAAACCAAGTCCTGGGAATAACCTGATAATCTATCCCGGAGAGCGGGACGAGTCCTGCTCCGCTTGTTTTGTTACCCGAGCTCGACAGAAAATGTTGGAGGGGGACTGAGTGTCGCTCTCCTCTGGAAATGTGGACTGTGTCTGTGGCGCGGCGGCTCTGCCTCCGCTGCCTCCTCCCTCCCCTGGTTCATCTGAGCCACAGAGCAGCACGCTGCGCCACCAGGCGGCCAGCATCCACCCCGCAACACCAGTTACACAGGACACAGTGGCTCAGCAACAATATCTTCACCATAACATCTGTCTCATGAGCTGCAGGATGAAGGAGAACGTATCACTCAAGTAAGACAATTATGTACAAAGGCATTTATTTTAAGGCATTTATTGGTATTTCCAGGCTTTATCCACTATATTTTAACAGTAAATACTGTTTCTATTTTTTATTTATTTATTTATTTACAGAATCAGTTAGTATGTTTGTGTATACAGTGCTCTCAGTGCACTTACACACACAGTACCAATAACAATGTCCAGGAAGGTACACATGGACATACAGCAAAAACAAGGGCAACAAAGATGAACAAAGATTTAAAAAAAGACTATTACATACGATCCAGTAGGGAAGAAAGAAAGCAACAACAATGGACCCAGCATACAGTGTCTATATAGGCTACAGGTCACACCCAGAAGGAAACAGGTGGAACAGCTGTAATAAATATAAGTGGGTAGTTTAATAAGTTACTTTATCTACATACACTAGGTGGTTATGTACATTATGTTCATGTATACACATCTATATAGAGTATGTACAGCCTGCTTGTCTATGGATGATATAGTTTATACATTTTATTGCACAATGTGAGTTTTTTCAGCCACATATATATATGTGTGTGTGTGTGTGTGTGTGTGTGTGTGTGTGTGTGTGTGGCTGAAAAAGGAAAGAAGAGCCAGAAAAGATGTGGGGAGTAAAGGCAACAGTGGTGCCAGTGGTTACTGGAGCACTGACTCACAAACTGGGAGAGTGGCTCCAGCAGATTCCAGGTACACCATCTGAGGGTCTGCAGTGATGTTTCCTGCCCGCTTCCTGATTCTGGGGGTGTACCAGTTCTGGATGGTGTGTAGATCGGCACCAGTGACCTTTGCAGCAGGCCTGACTGACAAACCAGAAGGTGAAGGGTGTGCAGGGAACAGATTCAGTGACTGAAATGTGGAACTGGATCAGCAGTTCCTGAACTTCCTGAGCTGGTGCAGGAAGTGCATCCTGCACCATCCTCTGCTTTTTAATGACTGTTTTGACTGCACTGAGTCAAGTCACATTTATCTTTTATACTTGGTGGAAGTTGTAAAGCCTTAACTAAAGTAAATATGTCAATACAACATGATGAGAATGCTCAATTACAAATAAAAGTTCTCAATTCAAGAAGTGTAAAAGTAAAGGAAAGATGCTCAAGATGCTATACACACACACACACACACACACACACACACACACACAGTAACATTTTGTCAATACATGTAGTGGACTAAAAAGGATAGTTTCCTCTGAAATGCATCAGAGTTGACGTAGTAGTTTTAAAACATCAGCTGCCAGACACGTTAGAACAAATTTAATATGAACATGTTACGTCTAATCTTGGCACGTGTTAATTTGATCCTCAGATACCTCAGTAAACACGCCTCTGGAAAAAAACTGAACAGATAATTAACTTTCCTCTTTAGCTCCCCAGTTAACAGTAGTCCGGGGAGAGTAAGTCAGACTCTGTTTAAATGTAAATCTGCATTTTTTTTTTTCTCTATATCTGAAATGTAGTGTTCATTTTTATTTACTTAATTAATATGAAAATATCCAATACCACTTGCCTCTCACCAAATCCCTGAGAAGCTGTAAATTGAACCTTGACACATTGTAATTAGTGCAGAATACTAGCACAGTGGTGACCACAGTATTCATTGTAAGGGTGTATAATAGAGATTTCCCTTAGTCATATAGTTTAGAATAGTCTCGTCTATGAGGACAACATTTCTACACACATTTTTCTTCTTAATTGTTAAAAGGCCTTTCCTCAAGACTCACACACACACACACACACACACACACACACACACACACACACACACACACACACACACACACACACACACACACACACACACAAACACGTGTCCATCAGGTTTCTCCAAATAGCTCCCATGGGACAAGTGTTCTGTAGGCAGCTGGTGGCACTGTACTGTAGGAACAGATTAATGTGGACTAACACAATACAATCCCCTTTTTTCTTACCTCTGTGGTTATGCTTCAGCTGAAGGCTGGACTGATGATAGGACTGAAGTGTCATTTGTTATTACTTCATTTTTAATTGAATAAATACTGAATAGGACAATCACCCATGGTATATTTGCTTTGATTTCATGGACATGCTTCTTATTTGTTTATTTATTTGTAAATGTAAATATGTATATTTTGTTTATTATTTTATTGTACTGTTTTCCTATCCATAGAGTCATGAGTGTTTACTAGTGGCCACATTAAGAAACTGCAGCATTAAATTTGCCAAGTCAGTATCAGTGCAGACATGACAGCATACTACCACTTCCGGTACACACTTTCAAAATACAAACCAAAGCAATCAGAGAAATGGGAAAATAGATTTAGGTCAACTGCAATGAGATGCAACAGCAGCCAACTTTGGTTTTGTGAGTGGTCCCATGCAGAGTTTCTTATTGTTGGCATAGCCCTAAGCAAAAACTTGTTGTTGCGCCCTTAATGATCCCCACTGTACATGTCAGTTTCATTATTTGCTCAGGCACCCAGAAACCAACCAGTACTCTAGAGCTGAAATGATTCATTGATCAATAGATGACAGATCAGACCTACTGTCAAATGATAATGAAAATAAGTGTTGCTTGTGATCTTACAGTTTTCCTATGATGTCTACTGTGTATCCAAATTTCATTGTTTGCAGAGCTTACAGTGACAATAAAGGCTTTTTAAATCCTAATTCTAATACTACTCTTCTAGAGGTTTTCTGTGTATTAATAATATGACACTCAGAATTGCTTAGAAAAAGCTAAGCAATTGGAAAGAACAAATCTTTATAACAAGTGAGCTCAATATGAACTAAAACAAATGTGCAATGAGGGCCTCTGAGGGTTGGGGGCCCTTGGGAAGTTGCCAGCTTTGTCTGGTTGGTAATCCAGCTTTGATTGCAAGGCTATTTCTGTGTATTACAGGTATTTTTCATTTATTGCATGGTGCTTTGTATTGTGTGATGACAAAGTATTGTATTGTTTTACAACAAAAATATATGCTCTGATTACAAAGTGTATATTATTAATACAATTACAATACAATACAATACAATACATTTGATACAAACATGATTATTTGCCCTTTGATATCTCTGAAGAATATTGACCAGTATTAAAATCTACATTATTCTCTTGTTGGTCACTGTATTTTGAAAGTACAGACCGGAAGTCTTGGTATATTGCGATGTCTGCATTAACGCGACTTGACAAATCAATTGTTGCTATTCCTCCTTATCACCACTGGAGGGCGGTAAACGCTCATGATTTAGATTACACTTCGGTCAACCGTCATCGCCCCCCTTTTTTTAAAGAGAAAAATTACCTCTTTTTTTTTTTTTTTTTTTTAAATATACACGTGGGGAAAAACATTTCAGCCCAAGTAACGTTAACTTAAACTCGAATTATTAACGAAAAGTAGAAGATTTTTTAAAATCTTTTTGGACAACAGGTTTATTTCAATTGGACGACTTCGGTGTGTTATTTTTCTGATTGGCTGCAACTTCAGCGACTAAAACTGATCACCAGTTATAACCGAGGCGATTAAACACGTTTGTAGTCCATTATTAACTGTCCAAACACATTACTTTAAAATTTCAACGGGTACATAAACCGTTTCGTGACGATATTTTAAAATGCATTGTGTTGCTTTTGCTCCCAAGTAAATAACCACCAATCAGAAGCCACGCTCCTGCGTGTTGCTAGGCAGATTATGTTAATATATGCAATGCAGCCATCTCTGCAGCTACCATTCTGAGGTAAGAACAACTTGTACGTTTTCCACAAAATGTAAGAAAACCAGGGATTGCTTCATGACCAGTTCTGTTGCTCGATTGCTCTGTAGTCTTTCTGTTAATATAAATTAAAAGTGCGGGTTGTTTTAACGCATTTGCACCGGTATAAAATATATTTTTTTCGTTGGGTCTCTTCGGATGTGGTTGTTGTTGTTAGTCCCACCCAAAATGGAGCCCGTTCTTCCTTGTTCACAGTAGACTGGAAGGGCTGGGCTCAACTAGAATTGGGGGACGGGTGGGTCTATCCAAATAATTCGGGCCTTTACCGCTTCTAAACCACTTTTGTCAAAAACCGCAGACTGTGGTCCACGTCCTGGGGCCTAACAAGTTATGTCTGTCTGCATGGCCGGTGTTACATTGGGACTATATGGCTGTAGTGCTAATGTTGCGGTGCAGTAAATGCCCGGGTTTCTACGGCGCTGGTTTTTGTGGTATGGTCCGGTTGGGACTGAGAACCTGCGGGGTTAAAATAGGGGGGAATTGAATTTATTATTGATTATTCCAGCTAGATTTCTGAATGAGTTCACGGAGTCCCGACTTTTCACCGTGTTTTTTATGCCGACATACGGTTGTATTTAGACACTGTTTTCCTTGCGGCCTCATGAGCAAACGTTGACCGCGTTTTCCTTCGTACCCCCGCTGAGAGTCCTGTGTGACCGCTCTGTGCACGAAGTGACATGCTGCCTTATTTTGGCGTCCAAGTCCTGTCAGCAAGGGCAAAACAGAGTCTGGAGCCCCCGAACCCCTCTCTCTGATGGCACATGGGGTTGAATTCAGTTCCACTTAGCTCAAAGATCGCAGCCGTAGTGCCTCATTGTTGCAGCCAAACAGCTTTTCCCTAAACAAACAAGTCTAGCATGTAATGGCTTTGATAAAGCTGTGACATCAGAGGCTCTATCATCCATAACGATTACTTCAGTCCATATACACATTTCTACAGACAATCTCTAAACATCTATGAATCGACAGCCCTAAAGCAGCAATCAATATTTAACTTTAGTATTATCACAGTCACATTTAGCTATTATCATCATGCAA